CAGACACGGAACGGCTCACAAGGAATACAGCCTGGACTCAAACCAGCGTACAATTAGACTTTCGGACCCTGCGCATATCAGTAAACGGCTGCAAGACTCAGCTGTGGCTGTGGCTATACCCAGCTTCGTGGGCATCTCTCGGCCATTCGGAAAACGGAATCTTGGTCGTCCGACGAGGCTCCAGTGGCCCAATCCGTCTTTCGTGCTGACATCTGAGTCGTGTCCATGCTCGGGAAACATGGTAAGAAAGCACGGATACCCCTTGCACGTCTTGCGATGTCGTCTGTCAAAGTCACCGGGGTGTTGCGGTTTGGTACCAGTTCACGCTCATGGCAAGGACCGCATGCGTGATAGAGTGAAGAACTTGCACTGCGTTGTTCGGAACACTACATCAGTCAAGAGGTATAAAACCCTTGGAAACTCCAATCTATCCTTATGGAAACCATGTCCCGGAACCCCGCCCCAGAACTATCTGTCCGTCTCGGACCACCCCGCTTCCCCGGGAGGTTGACAGTATACTGATCGTGAGGTAAAGATTTTCCCCTGTCGATCAGTGGCTTCACAGTCACTTCTCCTCAATCGTGAAGTATCTGGAGGAGGAAGGCTTCGACGAAAGGGGTCCGTCAGGCCGGGAGTGGTGGTCGATCCGTCGAACGCTTCTTATCACCCAAACAAAATTCCGAACATCTCTTATGAGGTCTGATCCAATATAATTGCAAAAGTAGTGCCTCTCGGTCGTTTCGTAGTGTCGCGTCGCTGTTCATCCTGTTGTAGGGCCTCACGCCCTCTCAGGCCGCATGTGTTGCAGTCTTTTTCGGCATCCACCTCGACGAGGCTGGAGGGTGCTCGGTTTTTCACCCGTACGTAGTGTTACTACCGCTTGTTCAAGTCAGCTTGAGGCTACGTTCACAGGTGAAGCGACGTCATCTTACCTTGGACTCATCGGTGCGTGACCTAGGTTGGACTGATAGTAGGGCTTTGGCATACCCAGCTGGGGTAGCTTGCGCCAACTTCGTTCCCGCACTTCTCGCATATAGGAGTCTTGCTCTGGGCTTCTGTGGAAGCGTCTTGAGTCATCTTCAGGCTCTCCGCCGTAGAACCGGTAGACAGCGAAACCGCAGCAGACGAGCGCGCCTGCTCCGAGGATAACGAGAAATATGATGAGGGCTGGGGCGATGTCGAAGCCCATGTTGTTTCTTTTTTGAAGATACATTGTGACTGCGGAGGAAGGGGTATATGCTGTGGTACAGAATCTCGTGCGACGGGCGCGAGTGATATAGGGATGGAGTAGTGTTTGCTGTGGTGACACGCTCACGATCAACAAAGGTAAGGCAGAGAGTGAGCCTAATGCGCGGAGGTTCCGGAAGCTGCAGGAGTGACAAGAAAAAGACCGAGGGGATGGTCAGCGTTGCGCTGACGACGACGAAATAGTATGGTGTGATGCGGCAACGTTCCACTGGCACCGAGTTGCGAGACCCTGTGTGCCACAATCACTTACCTATATACCGTTACAGCTATCGCTTCGGGAACCGCAAGGTCTTCCAGATCGTGCGTCTGATGCGAACCAAAGACCCAATCGGTTGCTAGGAGGATGCGACCCTTTCACCATGCTATTGGCTGCGTCACATATTCACGTGCCTGGGCAGCCAGTAAAGCTGCGTTACCCCACCTATCGACCACGTCTAAGACCAGTTGGCACTCGGAAACGCGTAACACCCCATCTTCGTCTGCTGCGTAGACACGCGTGGAAGTGTGGTTTCCGGACAGCCCGGGGAGGCTATGTTGGCTGGAAGGTTTCGGACCTGAACTTGGCCCGACTCTTGGAGCCTCTGGTTTCCTTAGCTTTGTATACCGCGATATGCCCTCCTTTTCTTCTGCCTCTGGGCGCAATTTTGATGCGAATATTTCTGTCTTTTGGGGCTGTGAAGGTGAATGTTCGCTGGGGACGCCTGTGGTGGTACGGTCTTACTTAGCCTTGGTGACGCGTCATCCGCACCTTCCAGGCATGCCGAGCGTCAGATTCCCCACCTCCTCAGGCCAACAGCGAGAGCATCAGCTTTCTTATATGAAGATGCGACACTCAGTGACGCAAACTTTGTTCCTGGACGATGCGCATCGTTCGCCGATCGTGAGGCACGTCAGAGCGATAAATTTAGCATAACAGCGATGACGTCGCACCGTCCCGCGCCCTCGCCCTGACGATCCCTTGAGCCCAAGCTTCTTACACCTTCGACGTCCTTCTTCTGGTCCTCCTCTTTGACACTCTGGTTGTTGAGATGAGATTTTACTGATTCCCATGGTTGCGATACACTGAAGCCAATGCTTACATTCGACACGTGATCCTCTTTGACGCAGATGCGCATCCTTCGGTAGCAACACATGATGGTACCCAAGTATGCGCTCCGGCAAGGGCGGGCGTGGTCGGCGCGCGACGGACGCAATGGTTTCAAAGACCCCAAGCGCCAGTCGCGCCGGCGACGTCCATCCTACCTGACGCAGCAAGAGAATGTTAATGGGATCTCTTATCGAAAGAGATTGTCGATGCTACCTTCCTTCTGTTGAGTCTCCAGGTTAATCTGTTATGGCCGGACACACACCGAGCGACGAGATTCTGGACCTGGAATTGGTAATGGACATTTACACCAACAGGCCCTCCACGAATCCAGATCAGGGCATCTCGGAATTAACAATCAGCGTATCTACTCTTCGAAAAGACATCAAGAGACGGAGAAGTTGGGCAAACCAGTGCTTAAAGAATCGAGGCTACACCGTGGTAGGAGTAGATGGAAGGCCTCTCTAGATGAGTTGCACTTCGTGTGACCTGAGACGTTTCAGAGATGCACGCATCGATCGCCAGCCTTGTGCAAGAGCTGCATCGCCACAAAGTGGGTTGACGTTCGGGTTCGCGGTCCGTGATTAATCTATATACATTAAACGCCCTGGGTTTTGACGCCACCGGATATAATCGACTCGGATGCAGCAACACTTGCAGCAACACTGCAACTATGTCCAAGACCCCACGGGGTATTAGTTACACTGCATTTCGGTAGCCATAGGGCTTACATACATGACTGCCGTAGATCCGTGCTGGTTCCCGTGAGCTGCTGAGTTGCGCCATCAGCGGAATGTTAGGCATCGCATCGTCATTCTCGGTTGTTAAGCACCTGAGCATGCAGCTTGATACAACAACGACAATATTCTTCGTTGAGTCCCGTCAATACACCGAGAGGTCCACATCGCCCAGAGTTTAAGTAAACAAAGTACCACAACGTAGTGGCTGAAACTCGCACGTGGTTGGTGACCACCTGGACGGCGGCAGTGGCCGCAGCCGAGGATAGATTGCCCATCACCACTTCAAGGACAGCACTGCGTCTCATAAATTAATACTGGAGTCATTGAAATTCTCCTAGCCTATCGCAGTGGTTTCACGCCGTCACCAGACTGGAAACACCGCTGGGCTTCCAATGATCCAAGAGCTCGACGACCAGGGCGTGTTTCCACGAGCGGATGGCGCTCAACTCAGAAACCAGGTCGACTCGTGCATGGAGATGAATTTTTTGATTGCAAGGCTTCGCCAATACCTGGTCGTGGGAAAACGTGGGCGTCAGTAGAAGGCCACTAGAAGACTTCAGATGAGTATATGAAGGGGCGTTAAGTCCCAGGTTGAAGGTCACTCTCGACAGCAAGCCCATCACTACACAGCTTCAACAATCGCTTCCTACAAGTCATTCACTTTGAATACCATCAACATGCTCTCTTTCCTCCTCCTTCTCGCGCCCCTTGTGGCAGCCCACGGCCACGTCGACAAGGTCGTTGCCGACGGCAAGGAATACCAGGGCTGGAACGCTGCTCTCAAGTACCAGACCCCCATTCCCGCCACCGTAGGGTAAGTGACTCTGTACGAACTGCACGGGAAACATACACTGACTCATTCGTACAGATGGCAGGCCGACAACCTTGACAACGGCTTCGTCTCCCCTGACAGCTTTGGCACTGCCGCCATCGTTTGCCACAAGCAGGGCAAGAGCAACGGTGCCTACGTTACCGTCAAGCCCGGCAGCAAGGTCACCTTCAAGTGGGACACCTGGCCAGTCAGCCACGTTGGCCCCATTCAGGAGTACATCGCGCCCTGCAACGGCGACTGCGGCTCCGTCAGCCCCTCTGACCTGAAGTGGACCAAGATCCAGTCCAGCGCCTGGAAGTCAGGAAGCAACCCAGGAAAATGGGCTACTGACGACCTCATTGCCAACAACTTCGCCTGGGACCTCACCTTCCCCAACGTCGCTCCTGGCAACTACGTTGTCCGCCACGAGATCATCGCTCTGCACGCTGCTGGCCAGACCAACGGCGCCCAGGCGTACCCCCAGTGCGTCAACTTCAAGGTTGAGGGCTCTGGAACTGCTAAGCCCAGCGGCGGTGTTGCTGGTACTAGCTTGTACAAGGTAAGATCTTCCACTTGAGTCGTACGATGCAATATCGGACATGTGCTAACGAGATTGTTTAGGCCGACGATGCTGGTATCAAGTTCAACGTTTTCCAGTCCTTCACCAGCTACCCCGTCCCCGGTCCTGCTGTCAACAAGCTCGCCAAGCGCCATCCTAAGGACCTTGAGTACTAGATACGAACACGAATAATGAGCTATGAGATGTCTGTAGGGCATGGGATGAGGAGAGTGGTTCATGGGTACATACTTCTTTGGGGTCGCTCGTTAAGGCTTGCGAGACGGTGTATATAGAGCATTGGTGGAGTGTATATAGCATTATGGAATCACATTGCGTTATCTTTGGATCTTAATGCTGTATGATGGCACTCAGCACCCTATGGTCGTATATGTGAGGATTTGATTAGCTAGCGTAATAAATCCCAATCGAAAAGAGTGTAGTGAAAACTGAGTGGAGATAGCTGCTGAATTAGGTCAAGGAAACTGTACAACCTGTGGAAGAAAAAAACACTTTTTGCCCCATGAGAATTCCCGTCCCCTGCACGCTCTTGAACTCACCTCACGCACTAAACACACTAAATGCCGCCAAACATGGTCGACAGCGTAATGCTCCTCCGTCTGGGCACTCCCATAAGCCGAACTGTGCAGCACTTCTCTTTGTATAACATTGTGGACACGGCTCATTCTGATACTCGACGTGCTTCCATCCCAGGTCGATGCTGACGTCTCTGAGGCGCTCTTCGTTACCAGGACCACCCACATCTCGAAGCTTTTCGCTGTGCTTGCGCCTGGCTTGTTCTCGCGCTAGATGCTTCTTGAGGCTGGTACTGATCTCCTTGTCCTTTCTGGGTTGCTTCATGCTGTGCAAAGCTTGAGGCTCCTCATAGTCATCTGGGGCTGACCGCTTGAGCGAACTAGAGCCATGATCAAGACGGTTTTGAGCAGCTCTCGCTTGACGTTCCTGGGCCGCTGCGATGACGAGAGCTTCACGTTCTTCAGCAGCTCGTTGCTTGGCCGCGCGTCGCTCAGCCTCTTCATGTTTCCGCCGAGCTTCTGCTTCAGATGATCGTTCCTCATCTTGTTGCTGACGGAGTCGCTCTTCGGCGGCCAAGACATTAGCACGTTCGGCTTTTGCAGCCTGTTCTTTGGTCCGTTCTTGTTTGAGACGCCAACGTTCTCTCAGTGCCTGGTCCTCGTCCGGCGGATGTTGAGGTTTATCGTTACCTTTGGTGACGTTTCGTTCTTTTTGTGCTCTTTCCCAGTCGGCTTTGATACGGGCATCTTCCTTGGCTTGTTTTAGTCCTTGTTGTCTGATCTCCTCTTGGAGACGCTCTCTTGCATGTATTGCTTCCTGCTCTCGTTGCCGAATTTGCTCTTTTGCCTTGGCTTCTTTTGCAAGAAGTGCCTTCTCAGTCTCCATGCGCTCCATCTGACGTCTTGTGGCTTCCTTTGCCTTCTCTTCCAATACTTTTTGCTTATCCCTCTCAATCTCCATCTTCTCTTCATCCACTTTTTTCCGTCGTGCTGCGGCTCTGGCATGTCGCTGCTCGATTTCCCGTTGATCAGCGTTCCATTTGGCGAGGTTAGTTCGGTAGACGTCCCATTGGTTTCGTATCCGAGGGTAGCTCTTGTTGTATTTGGCGCGCTTCCCATCGCTTTTCAGCGTATCCCAGGCAATACCAACCTTATGGTTAAGAGTTAGCTGAATGTCATCGGTCGTCTAATGAGAGTTCCTACGTTCTGGAACTGCTCAGTGTTGGGTGTGGCACCAACTCTTCTGCTGTCTGGGTGGTATGCAGCTTGCAACCGCTTGTGACACCTCTCTATTGTGGCATATGATGCGCGTTCATTGACCCCGAGAATTTCATAGTAGTCGAGCTGCTCTGGAGGATTCTGTGGGCCGTTCATATTGTCGTTTGCTCTAGAGCCTTGAAGTTGGTGCTGTGAGGTGAGACGTATGTAATGTATGAAGCGTTAAGGGTGTCAGGTGTGGTGGTGTAGAAGGAATGGAGAAACGGAAGCGTAGGAAGCATTATATATGTGACAAGCGTCTCTTACTAGGCGGTCAAAGAGCGGGGTATCTTGAAAGGTAAGAGAAGGAACGCAGAGTGTGCCTAAAGAACGGTGAGATGGATAATGGCACATGGTGAGATAGGTGTAGAAAAAACATCGTAAGAGAACATCAAAGGTGAGAGAACAAGCAGATTTCGCTATCTATTTCCCTAGTAGTTAAGTAGTCTTAGCTAGGGAATCAGACAACAGTAGGCACTTTCTGCCTTTACCTTAGATGCTCTAGTACACCTCGCAATTTACCTTTACATTTACCTCTGCATCGGATGTTCACCGAACTGACTTCGGTTGCCCATCTGCACACCGTGAGTTTGCATCTCTTTACCGTACTCCATTACTTCTTCCTCCCATTGCTTTAGCGCTTCCATTCCTCCTCCGTTGATGACCTTCTCAACCGCGCCAGCAAGCTTCATCGCGTCTAGAGCGGCCTGGTTTGTGCTCGCCGCTGTGTGTGGTCTGAAACCCGCAAGTGCATCGCCGAGCAACAGTACTCTACCATTTTCTAGCAAGGCAGACGGCGCGACGACATCTGTGATGGCTTGCACGAAGGGTACCTCGGTCTTATTGACGAGCTCAGCGAACTGAGGCGGAAGTATCTTGTTCGCGAGATCCCTCTGCCGTTTCCATACATCTTCCTTGATGCCACCAGGCGGTAGTGTGATGTGATGTGTCTTCCCCTCGTTGTCTGTCATGAGTTCGACATGCTCCGGCGACTCTTCCTTGTAGCTGACGTACCAGACCCAGTTCAGCAATCGCTCACCAGGTTTAGTAGTCCCGTATTTCCCTGGTATAGTATACGCTAGTATCTGAATACCCTCCGTGTGGTAGAATGGGAACTTCTCGACGAAGACATCGGTGGCAGCCTGTGAGACTTGGGTTTCGGGTACCGTGCCACGCCATGCTACGTATCCGGCGTACGTTCGCTTGACGTCAGGGAAGTATTCGGCGCGTATCGTGGAGCTGGGTCCGTCGGCTGCGATGACGAGGTCGGCTTCGGTCGAGAACGTCTCCCCGGATTTGTGTTGGATTGTGATCTTAACGGGTTCTGAGAAGTCCAATTCCAGAGATGATGCAGGCTTTGGTGCCGCAACACTCGTGACCGTGCACCCATACTCATACGATGTCTTTCCCCCCTCTTCTTCCGTCGTGGGTACCTTCGCGTAGTCGGTCTCAGTACCATCGTAGTTCGTTCGTAGGAGGTGGTACAGCAAATCCCAGCTTGTCATACGCTGCTCCTGGTTGTGTCGGCTTATGACACGGCCCTCCTTATCGAGATATAGCCGTTGGTGACTCGGGATCGTCAACGTGGTTTGACTTCGGTCGTGCGCTTTGAAGAACTTTTGCACGTCCTGTCCGGCCACCACACCAGCGCCCTGATCCTGCAGAAGCGGCGTCGGATTGCGTTCGAATATGCGGATGTTGAGATCTTTGCGAAGGCGCTTCAATGCGACACCAGTCAGAAGGCCGCCTAAAGATCCTCCTACGATTACTATGTCCTTGGGCTTTGCTGGTGCCATCGTGATGCGAAACGATGCGTGTGGGTAAGGGGCGTTGAGCCACCAGCTCAATATGGTGAATGCTACATTTTAAGCTCTATGTCGATCATGATCTGCTCAAGGATGCAGTCTTGTATTACCGTTCGATGACATGCTCGAGGATTCAGTCGACGCGGGTGCCGGTCAAGCATCGCGACCAACGGCAAGCCTCGGCACTTGAAGCTATGCTTATGTCATCATGACGCGCACTTATCCTCCACTCTCACCTGGGCACCCTCACGAAGTCTGAGTAATTACCCGCCAACTGATGGACACATGGCGCGCTTGTGCAAATTTATCTCTATCGTGTTCATTGTTCTTTTTGTTATATACGTATAAAGCAACTGCGATCTATGCACACCTGGGTATCTACCAAAGCAAGAACTGAACTAAAAGCTAATACGAATCGCAAACACACGCAACGCTAAACTTCCTGAAATATCCTCGAGGGCGATGCAGAACTCATCGTCACCTCTGGCGCACCGCGCGCTTCGCTCTCTCTCGCCAATTGACTCGCGAACTTACTCTTTGCACGAATTGCCGGACCCTTGAAGTAAAAGATGTACACCGGAAGACAAAACAGCGCTGTCAAGCCAAACAGTACCAGATACGACCTCTGAATACCTAGATTGCTGTACATGGGCTTGGTGTAAAGCGCACAACACCCCGCGAGCAAATCTCTCATGAAGCCGTTGCCACCAGTCGCAGACGCGCTGTGTGGTCCGTAGGCGGCGACCATGTAATCGATGGACGCGTAGTAGATGGCGAAGTTCGCGACTCCAATGAGGAGAGTGGCCATTATGACGCCGAACCAGTGGATTGGTGGCCCCGTTGCGACGAACGCGCAGATAAGTAGCCCGGCGGGAAGGAGGGTGACGAGCCATAGGAGTGGCTTGAGACGTGCCTCAGGTGCGAGTTGTTCGCCCCGGCTACGTCGAGCATTGTGACGGGCGATGATCGGAATAAAGGCGAAGTAGCCGATGATGTATGACACGGCTAATGCGGCGAGGGCAAGCGAGATCTGCGTAGGCGTGAACGACCATTGTTGGAAGACATAGCCGAAGCTCTCGAAGAAAGAGAAGATGAGCGCGTCGGCGAGACCGCTCAGCAGCGACAGGAAAAGGACGATGGGCTCAGTCAGAAGCAACTGATATGGTCGAAACATCGTGGTGGCAACTTCCTCGTAGTGCAGCCTGTCCCTCCATTTCTTGTCTTCGTTAGGTCCCCGGATGTTGACATTACCGCTCTTTCGTTCCTTCTTCGCGGCGTTGTCGAGCATAATGGGAGCCAGAGTCTCTCTGGCGATTGCCCCGTGAAGCAGCTGAGTCGTTACTCCAAGGATGAGCTGGATGTAGAAGTTCCAACGCCAACCCAGGAACTGCTCGAGCGGGCCTCCGATAATGCCTCCAATGACTGATCCGAGACAAGAGAAGAGCGAACACCACAAGACGGCGTATTGCTGCTCATCTTTGTGATACATGTCACCGACCATGCCCATGGTGACCGATCCACCAGCCGATGATAAGCCGCCCATGATCCTGCCACCGATGATTCCGGCAAAGCTGTTGGACGTGGCGCAAACCAGGACCGAGATGTTCGTCAGCCCAAGAGAAGCTTGCATGACAGGCCAGCGTCCAAATTCCTCAGAAAATGGCGCCCAGAATTCGCAGCCAAACGCATATGCGACGAGGAAGGCAGTCATCCCCAACCGGGCGTTTGTGATGCCGAAGTAGTCGTTCAGCAGAGGCACAGCGTTGGAGTATACCGAGGCGTTGAGATTCATACTGATCTGACAGAATGCGACCACGGTCAAAAGGCACCACTTTCGTTTTGTGGACCAAGCGTGCGCAGTGCGTTCGGGCGAGGTGTGTTCGTTGAGGATGATGGTGGGCGCGAGGCCGGGGGCCGAGGGTTGTGGCACCAGTGTGGTTGAACTCTCCAGACTGGTACGCGACTGCGCTGGGGAAGAGTTGGTGGAAGCCGTATCAGAAGACATAAAGTTCTCTGTTGCTGTTAATTGTGTGTGGTGTATTGGATTGTATGATAGTAGTGTCTTGAGAGATAACTATCTTAGAAAGGTTGCATTGAACATGCGAGATTATATACTAAGACAGTATGATTTTACGATGGATGCTTAACTTTGGATCATCGTCAGTCACGTCAAAGTACTATGGTTCTGTCATTTCGCGCATCGCAGCTCATCCTATGGGAGAGGGTACATACTAAGCGAAAAGCTGGAGACCGACTACATGCACATCAGAACCATGGTACGCAAGTAAAATCCAGCAAGTAGAGTAGAACCGGCATCGTTCGTGTAATCATTCCACGATACTGCTAAATTGTAAGTATTTGTTGGTAATGCACCATGGGTGGGCGTAGTGGGCGTGGACTCTGAACGTCACCTGACTTCGTCTTCCCCCAGGAGAGTAGTTGAGACACGGTTCCAAAGAAGAGTAGCGGGTTCGCTAAGTGTTGTGTTCAAGATCTTGAGTGACAATCTCTATGCTCAGCGAGCGTCTCTAGTACCAATGATCAGTGCCCAGTAGGTAGCACTTTGAGTTACAGCAGTCTTGTACGCGAGAGGCCCGCTTCCCCACGAAGCAGTATCTCCATAGATCCAAGACCATGGCCTTTGTCCTCCTTCAGCGCATTCTATACAAGGAAAGAGATGAACGAGTCTGCAGCCTACATTAAGATGAAAATATGCAAAGTAGATGATCTAACGTCAACGTAGGCTCTAGGGTGTTCAGAAAATTTCCTGAACGGGGTGGGCGCATGATATGATGTCGCATGGCAACGACACAATGATCGGAGATCATGAATACGTTGTCGGATTGATGACCTGCTCATAGAAATGTCATAAAGTATTCCTTATAATGCGTGGCAATGACGGTAAGATTATGTTTGTGTTTAGCAAGGTTAATTCGAGGCCATTTTAGTACATGACGCCAAGAATACTAGACGTGCGGAAGTCCGTCGAACGTACACAGTACTTAATCATATGTATGGTTTCGGTAATGACATATGATCTTGTTGAGTGTGAGGCGAACTCAAAGTCAAAGTGTTAGCGCGTCAGCGCGTCATTTCGCCAATACCACATAACAACGGCAGGGGGTTGGGTTCGCGGGTAGGTACACCACGATATGTAGCAACCCAGTCCAAAACTGTGTTTGCACGTGAATTAATTGGGCGTCGAGGTCGTACAACGCTCAATCTCTCGACCGCATCCTTGTACCTGATCACGTTCGCAGAAACCAGACGGAGCTCCCACCCTCCTCGGTCGGATGCTGCATCGATATTCAG